AAGGCACCTTCCCTGAATTATAACTAGCCTTAAGGAGTATACGTGATCGCCCGAGAGCTAAAAGCTAGTATAACGGAGATTCCTAAGGAATACTTAAAGTACAGTAAGCTATTTAGTGGAGAGCTAGAAATAGGACTACTAGAGCATTCGCGCTAGGACTATAAGATTAAACTCTAGCCTAGTAAAGAACTAACGTTTAATAAAATCTACCCTACTAATCCTAAGTAAGATAAAGTGCTTAAGGAATATTTAGAGGAAATGTTATAGAAGGGATACATACGACTATTAGAGTCACTAGTAGGACACTTAATCCTATAGGTACTAAAGAAAAACAGGAAGCTATGACTATGTATTAACTATTAGAAAACTAATAAGATTACGATTAAAAACTAATACCCATTACCACTTATTATAGAGATTTAAGATAAACTAGGATAAGCTAAATGGTTCACTACCCTTAACCTAAAAGGGGCTTATAACCTCATCCGTATAGTGGATAGTCACGAGTGGAAAACCGCCTTTTAAACCACGAGAGGACATTTTAAATACCTAGTGATGCCTTTTAGTCTTACTAACGCACCTATAACTTTCTAAACCATAATCAATATAGTGTTAAGAAAGCAGCTTAATAAATTCGTTATTATCTATCTAGACGATATCCTTATCTATTCTAATACTCTTAAGAAGTATAAGTAATATATATATAAAGTACTATAGGTGTTATAGGATAATAAACTCCTAGTTAAAGGAACGAAGAGTAAGTTCTATTAATAGAAAGTCGAATTCCTAGGATATGAAATTACACTAGGATAAATTAGGATAAGTCCATCTAAAATTATAGACGTACGTGAGTGGCCTAAACCCACTAATGTTAGAGAAGTTAGAGGATTTCTTAGGTTTACTAACTTCTACTAAAAGTTCATCTATAAGTTTAGGGAAATCACTATTCTACTAACTAACCTTATAAAGAAGGATAACGAGTTTAAATAGATAGAAGAAGAAGCTAAGGCATTCTAAGACCTAAAGGATAGAATCCTAGAAGAGCTAGTTCTTCTTATAGCCGATCTAAGTAAACTATTCGAGGTAGAAACTAATGTATCTAACTATACTATCGGAGGACAGCTTGGATAAAGGGACGATGAAGGGAGACTTCACCCCGTCGTGTTCCTATTAAAGAAACTCTATAGACTAGAACTCAATTATAGTATATATAATAAAGAACTTATAGCTATTATCTAAGCATTTAAAGAATAGTGATACTATTTAGTGGGTGTAAATTATAAAGTTACAGTTTATTCTAATTATAAGAACCTAACTACGTTTATAACTATAAAGGATCTAAATAAACAATAGATTAGATAGTATGAAACCCTTATAGATTATAATTTTAAGATCCTCTATTAGAAAGGATCACTTAATAGTAGAGTAGACACTCTAAGCCAACATAAAGACTTAAAGTTAATAGAAGTAACGGTTAAACACCCACTACTTAAGTATAATAAGGATAGGAACCTTATTCTAAGTACTAGGGAAATTAATACTACCTAGTAAGTTAAACTAGACGATACGTGGATGTAATACATTATGTCTTATATAAAGAAAGATAGCTACTTAGACAATTAGGAAACGAAGCCGTATATAACTAAGAGTAGGAGTAACTACTTATTTAATGAACGTTAGTATATTCCTAGTACACTTTAAGAATAGCTTATTAAAGAAATATATAAACACCCGTTATATAGACATTAGGGTGTAGATAAAGTTAATAATAGATTAAGATAAGCTCTTTATATTAAACTTCTAGAAATGTCTTATAGAAATTATAAAAGTTAAGTAAAACCTTTTAATAGTATTCCACCTATAAACAGACGGATAAACTAAAATCCAGAATTAGATACTTAAATAATATCTACGAAGTTATATGAACTACTAATAAGACGACTAGGTAGAATGGTTACTACTCGCGTAATAGGCTATGAATAGCTTAGAAAACAAGAATATAAAAATGTCACCTTTTAGGGCAAATTATAGATATAACCCTACGATTAAAACACATACGACACAGAATATAAACGCACTAGTAGCTATAGTATATACAGTAATAATTATAGATATATAGAAACACCTATAAGTAGAATGGATATTTTTATAGAATTAAATAAAACACTATACGGATAAAAAGAGATTACTAGCGCTAATCCTAGAGAGGGGAGATAAAGTTTACCTTATCTATAAAAACATTAAAATAAAACGACCTAGTGATAAACTTAACTAGAAAAAGATTAGACTATTCCTTATTAAATAAAAAATATTAAATACTAACTATAAACTATTATTACCTAAGGGAATAAGGATGTATTCTATATTTTATATTTTACTATTAGAAAAAGCACTAAATAACGCTACACTCACTATAGACGTTATTATTAAGGATATAAATAAGTATAAAGTTAAGAAGATACTTAAAGTATAAGGCATAGAAAAGAATCATTATTATCTTATTAAGTAGAAAGGATACTTAAACTCTAAAAATACATAGGAACTAGTTAGGAACCTCTAGTACTACTAGGACCTCCTACGAGAGTATTAGTAGGTGCAACTAAGGGACCTAGATTAGAAAAATCCCTAACGCTGAATTAGGCCTAGTCGGGATCGTTAGGAACCCCTAGAGCCTAAAGGTCGTGAGCTATCTAGTGCTTATAAGAGTCTAGGGTAGGAAGGATGTCGTCCTCCTTATCCAGCTCCTACATCCTACGCTTAAATAGCTTATAGCTCTTATCCTTCACCCGACGGCGAATTTTCTAAATCCTTACTAAACGATTCACTACTAAAGAAAGCTAAGACTATAACTCTAGTAGAT